TAAACCCCACATCGGCAGGCCTTTCAAAACAGTAGAGATTGACAGGTTTTTCTGCTGTGCTTAGATAAATAACTGCACAACAACTTCAGCGCCTCTTACGTCACAGGACCAAACAGGACCAAAGCACCTCTCCAAGTCCCCTGGAGATTGTTTGGAAGGTGTCCACACTCCCAAGTCACTGTGCACAACCACAGCTGTGGCTTAAGGACACAGTAAATTAACAACATTAAACAGATTTCACAGAGATGAACAGCAGAAAGTGGGCCTGCAGATACATTTTTTGTTAAGCCACACATCAACTATCCATTCTGTGTCACCCACAGAGGAGAACACTGGGTGTGTAGGTACCTTCTCTTCCTTCCTCCAGGGGATCACTGACCTTTTGTTTGGCTTTAAGACAGAACAAGTGTTTTGTTAAAATAGTTCCTGTGTTGCACATGGCACAAAAGAGTTCCTGAGTAGGGAGGACTTTGTATTCTGGCAAGTGCTGGTGCTTTCCTGCTTTATCAGACTAAGAGAAAGTTCAAATCAAAACTGAGATGATTGCTTTGTGGAAACCATTTGTGATTTTTGAGTCTGATCCAAAGGTCACCAGAGTTAATGGGAGTCTCTTCACTGATTTCTGTGGTATTCAGATCGTGTCCCACGGGGAAAAGCTGCTAAATACAGAGCTGGCCTCACTCCTGCAAGCTACTGAACATATGGTAGATCTCCATCCCTTGTATGTGCCCAGTGTGAAGATGTGATGGAAGAAACTGGGACGTGTTCTCCACAAATTTCTAGTATAAACGGAAATTCACTTTCACTGAAGTTTCAAAGACATTGAGGAAAAAACAATGGATGCTCTGAATATTCCTGAAGGGGAATACTCTTAATTTTTTATTTATTTAATACATATTATTATTTTATTTTTTTTAATCCCAGTATCCCACTCACTTCAAACTCAGTTTTGTGGAGAAACTTGAAATCAGAGAGCAGGGAGCTGTGGTGGAGGAGGCATCTCTTTCCCGCAGAAACATCTTATCTCACGTGGATTGGGTGCAGTCCACCACTGCAAACTGCCAGCAGAGATAAAACAGTCCCACTGAGACCAGGGGAACCAGCCAAGTGTGTCCAAGGCCACAGAAGTGGCACAACACAGGGCACAGGCTACATGCAAGGCCAGACCTTCTTCTACCACTGTAGGTTATTTACCTGCTCTGGGATTTACTAGTGAATTGTTGGGTATCAGTTTGGAAATAAAACACTTCGTAGATGAGGGTAGGTATCAAAGAAAATCTTAACATAATTAAATGAAAATCCCTCTCAAAATTGTACTGAATAATCCAAGACAGTTAAGTAAATTGTGTTGAAATATATTTAGGATCATAGAATCACAGAACTATTTGGCTTGGAGGGGGACCTTAAATATCATCTAGTTTCAGTTCCTAGGCATGCTCATCTAGGCACAGACTCATGGACAAACCCTTCAGAGGACGCAAAAAGCTACAGGAGATGACACAAAAACAGTAAAATGTCCTACAGGAGCTCTCCCAACAGTTTTGCTGAGCAAAGTGATTCAACCCTAAAAGCCAGTGGGGTAAAACTGGTTATCCAAGAGGGTCAGCAAATACTACACTTTGTTTTTGTTAATTCCATATTGGTATAGCCTAAAAAAAGGTTTGCTGAGGAGGTGCTATCTTTTTACACTGCAAAATTTATACAAAAGTCTTGGCATAGTTGCCTTGAGGTTTTACATTAAAATTATGTAAAAGGAAAAATAACTTGAAGAAATCCGAGCTGTCACAGAAGACAAAAGGCTTCAGGAATTGATCAGTAATAAAATTAAAAAAAAACCCACACTTTTTTTTTTAGTATTAATTATCAGGGTCTTAACCTGCTTGCCATACATAGTGCAGACAAAAACTTCTGTATGTTTACTGTAGCACCTTTGATTGGCCAATTTTGGCAGAGTCAACTTTTTTTTTTTTTTTTAATCATCAAGGCATTTATTCATCAGTGGGATCGATCTCAAGAGCGATAAATGCTCAGTCTGCTTCAAATGGCTTGTTCACAACTCACAAGGCCAGCATGGGCAGAGCTCTGAGCAACCTGGTCTAGTGGAAGGCGTCCCTGCCCACGGGAGGGGGTGGAATGAGACGGGCTTTAAGGTCCCTTCCAACCCAAACTGCTCCAGGATTCTGTGGATTGCACCTGCCAGTTCAGAACAAGGCCAACAAAAGGTTGGATTTTGAAGAGGGGGGATTTTGAAGAACAAAAGACTACGGCTAACGTCTGTTAGACAGCTATCACCTTTTGCCTCTCTTGTGATAACAGCTGTGGAAGCGATTATTTGGTCGCCTACGCAGGTTTCTTCAAGGTGTCGACAAGCTGAACGTCATCTGTCAGAAAAGCTGAATGTTTATTTTCCACGCCAACATGTCACTCATTTTGCGTTAAGGGCAGCCAAGAGTGCGTGCTGTTCCATGTGACTAAACGAACTGTGGCTTGGGAGTTGGGGATCCCACGTGGCACTGAAGGGCTTCATCCACCCAGCATGACATTCATTACCCTTTAGCTCGGGGTGGCCACCTCCAAACCACCTCGGGAGAAGCTGCAGGGCTGGGCTGAGTCCCCATCCGCGCTGGGAAGTGCTCCCCTGGACTCCAGTGGGTGAAAACACAACCCTGCCAGGGGCCACGGCAGTGATTTATCCAAGTTCAAACACAGTGGAGCATTTGTGTAGACACAACCTTAGGGTGTGTGCGCTGCACAAAGAACCGTATCAACCACTGGGTAAATCTTCCAATATCCTTTTTTTTTTTTTTTTAACCTTCTCTCTATGATGCCAGCTGGTGGAAACATTTGAGGGTTGAGTCCCTGAAACACCGACATTTAATGGGATCCTTGTCACTTTTAACGCGTACAAACTTTAGCATGAGGGGAAGGCAAACAAAAAGCAACCGGTGATAAGAAGCTTCCCTGGTTATTTATCAAGGTAGATTTGTTTAGGTGGTAACTGCTCTTTGTTCGTTTTCTAGGATCACATTAATTAGCACAAGGAATGATTTTTTTAATTCAGAACACCCCATTCATGCTGGACTCTTGATACACATGTTGCACTGCAGCATTTGCTGTTGTGCCCTGTGAATCGCTTACAACCCGGGCCAAGTGGTGTTTCCATTTCCTGAGTGGGGAGCTGAGAGCAAATAACCAAGTGGAAATTAGACATTTCAAGCTTGAACATTCAATTTGAATCCTATTTGTTGCTTATTCAACCTGTCATTTGTGTGAACTGTGCATTTAATGCAGTTTCACAGCTCCAACGACGTGTACAGGGGCTGCTTACTTGCTGTGGGAAGTCCCTGGGGAACACGATGGCCTCAACACTGCTGAGCTGGCAGTAGAAAACAAATAAATCTGCTGAGGATGCTTTGTGTCTGCTCCTGGGCCTGAACAGGCTGGTTCTCAAATGGTGTGGGACAACAGGTTACTCTGCAGGCCTGACCACATCCAGGAGCTCTGCCACTCAGAAGCCATTAGGGAGGTAATTTCTTACTAAGCAAAGGGATTGCTTTATGTCTGGGCAAAATTTTTGATCCACGGTGGTAAGAGATTTTACCGCCACGCTGCAGCCAGGTCCATTCATCACGGAAAACAGCACTGTGTCACTCTGTACAATAATCTATCTAGCATCCTGCACCCTGAATATCCTGTGCAGCTAGTTCTCCATCTCACAAAGGATGCAGGGTGACTGGGAAAAGGTTCACACGAAGGCTACAAAGCTGTGGGACTGCTTGTGTTGGAAGGATGACTACAACTCAACAGGGAAAAAAAAGAGAACCTGGAAGTTTCAGAGATGCCCGTGAAATCGTGAATGATACGCAAAAGGTGGAGAGGGATTGCCAGTAGTCAACAGGCAGCTGGTCTCGTCCAGTATAAGGACCCCAGGGCACACACTGAGTCTACATTTGGCAGCTCCAAACATCAGAAACTGGTTTTCTTTTTCCCCACAGCCTGTATTTAAGCTGTGGAGCTCACTGCCGCAGAATGCTCTCAGCTGCTGAGAAGTGTGCCTAGGTTTTAAAAAGTCACCGGTCGTGTTCATGGAAGAAAAAAAATCCATTGAGGGTTATTAAAAACACGACATCGTGTCTAGGTCAGAAAAGGCACCAGCAGTAAATCATGAGTAGCTAAAACAATATTCTGGGACTGTTCTCTCTCACTGCTCATGTGCTTTCATGAAGTTTCTGCTCTGACCTGTAACTGGGAACAGGGCATTGGCACGGATGGAACTTTTGGTCTGACCCGGTCCAGCTTTTCTGGTGCTTTTGTTGCTTTTTTTCCATGCTGCCAGTTCAGCAGTATGTCAGCTCACCTACTACCAGAGCCTGTGTAAGGAAAGGGCACAGGAACAGGCTGTGCTCTTCCTCCCCTGGCTTCCAGATCTTCTGGCTGCACTAAGGAGCTCTAAAACCTGATGGTTTAATCTCCCAGGCCTTTGCTGGGAATGAGGAGAATACCAGAAGAGCAGCTCTACAACATATCCAGATGCTGGGGATGGCCAAAACCACTTTGGGGTGCTGGTGGTGCTGTACTGGGGTGGGAGATCTTCTGGATCAGGGATTACAGTGTCTGGGACTGAGACCTTCAGCATGGAGATGAATTCACTCAGGAAAGCCCTGGCAATCAGGGTGTTGCACACCACCAGGAAAAGACCCAGAGGGCTATGCCTGCAGTCTCAGCAGTCAACCCTGGCATGTTTCCCTTTATTTCTGTGGATACACAAGGCACTTCCTGAAATTCTACTTGACCTACTTCCAAACGTTTTCAAAATAACCAGAGGCAGAGAATTTCCGCCCTGAAACACTTCAACATGTTATTTGTGAATTAAAAAACTCACACAAGGATATTCTTGGGGATAAATTTCCCGGTTGTTTGCTTTAGTGGAGTAAGCATAGCATTAAATTACAGGGAAGCGCAACTATTACCTTATAGTTTTCTTTTTTTTATTATAGACTTTTTATGCACATGAATGATAAAGAAACTACAACAGAGTTAAATACCTTTTTTGATAACAGTGATTATATTCTTAATTACACTCAATATTAAACTGTAAAATATTTCCAGAGGAGTACAATCGTAATTCGTACAGCAGGCAAAGTACCAGGGGAGGGAAGGGGCGAGGGAGAGGGGGGTGAGAATCTCCAGTTTGCTTTTAAAAAGCACTGTGTATGGCTAACGCTGCTCTATCCATCCATCCATCCGTCCGTCCGTCCGTCCACCCAAATCTGGTTCTGGCCCATCTGGTGAGACGTTCACTTCTTTCCAAAAAACCACCACCATCCCAAAAGCAAGAGATGAACTGGCAGATGTTGTCAAGTGTCTGTGGCGCTGAAAGGACCAGCGGTTCCTTTCACAGCTTATCTGCATGACTCGTCAAAAGCATTTTCTCTATCAACTTCAACAGTCCTTCTAAAAACACAAAGACTTAAACTTTGGTACCACCAAAAAAAAAAAAAAAAAAAAAAAAAGATCAAGGACAGGCATTTTTTTTTTTGTGGTTTTGTGTTTACTAATAAATGGCTGCTACATTCTATTTGACATGGTTGTCCATGATACTATGAGGTCACTTGTCCTTAGGTTCAGAGGAACCTGATTTTTTTTTTGTTATTTAGATCCCCAAACACTTCCATTTCACAGTCTATATACAAGTCAGGTTTCTGACTGGGTTATAACTTATAAGGTAACAGCTGCAAAAACTCTTGTGCCTCTGAGAATTTAAAAAAAAAAAGAAAAAGGAAAGAGGGAGAGAAAGAGAGAGAGAGAAAAGTGTTACCGACATTAAGTCCAAGTTTGAAATACTCACAGAATTATGACACTTATTTGCAATCTTTGAAAAAGGGACACACATAGGTCGCCTGGTCTAGGAGCATCCTTTGAGAGTCCACTAGTGAGTATCCGCAGGGTCTTGTGGAAACAAAGACGGAATTAATGATGAAGTGCCAAGTTTTAACTGACTGCAGTGTGAATAAACACAACAAGACCTGCTGTGGAAAGGAGCACAAGGCCCAGCCAGGGGCAGCTGAGGAAAACAGAGCATGAACTGAGTGGCTGAGGGTCTTCATCCCCTGGGTGTACCGTGTGGGTAGGGATGCAGTTACGCATCTCTTCTAGAGGAGATGCTTCTCTTCTGCTTGGCACATCTGAGGGCCTGAAACTGCTCCTGAACAACACAGTTGTGATTCTCTGCTTGACTGACTTAGCTTAGCAGTTAAGTAACCACTAATCTTTCAAAAGCACCAGGGCCTGCTTGGAGAAATCCCTGCTGTCTGCAGGGATGGTGTGCCTCTGGAAACAGAAACAGCGTGAGGAGCGCATCCATCCTTCCAGACAGGCAGGAAATGCTCGTTGCTGTGGTGCCAGCACTTTCCTTGCAGGGATTGTCAGCTGATGGAAACCCGATGCTGGGAACAAACGGTGCCTTTCCTCTGGTGCTGCCATCCTCAGGCAGGTTTTTATCGTACATCGAGTGCTGTGGACGAGGCTCCGAGGGCAGGGCCTGCTGCTTCTCATCTGGGGAGGCGTGCTGCTTTATTCAGGGTGTTAATATCACTGAATTTGTTTTGAATCAGCCCTCAGATTAATCTAGACTCAACCAGAAGGCGCTGCCAGTCAATAAGAAAGTCTGTACAAGAGGCCAGAACAGACCAACTCGATGCTTAGATTAATCTCCTTATCCCAGCAGGCAGAGCTCAAGGTCACAGATACTACTTACCTGGTTACTCTTATGTCTTTATTTTTAAGTATCTGCTTCTTCCATAGGTCAGGCAAACCCTTCTCAGATGTCCCAGACTTTCTCCTGAATACCTCTACTTTGTGCATTGCCGAGACCTCTACGTATGAACAGCCCTTTTTTTTTTTCCCTAATCCCTCTACTTCTCATCAGGGATTTTTTCAGTGAATCCACAAGTCCGATTTTGTGGCATAACACAATAGCAGGGCTACCAGCTTTTTGCCTCTCTCTCTCTCCAATCCCTAATCCTCTTGGGTTTTTTTGTTGTTTTTTTGTTTTGTTTTGTTTTGTTTGGTTGGTTTGGTTTTTTTGTTGGGTTTTTTTTTCAGAAAAAGAAGGACTTCATTTAAATGTCAAGACTTAGGCACTCAAAACTGGACTCTCCCAGGCCACTGTTGATGGAGATGGTGTTTCTACTAACTGAATGCTTTTAATAAACAGTTCTGGAAAACGCAGTGTTGGGTTTAGGAAGGCCCTGCACAAGAGCAGCAGGGTAAATTTCCTTCTGCAGGACACTGAACTACAGATCAACAGTCAGTGGGGTCCTGTAAAAATCCCCAAATATCCTCATATGCTGCTCTTTCCCAGAGCTAAAGGAGTTCAACTACGAGCAGAAAAACCCATTCCTACCTGCTCACGTGTGAACATCTTTCTACACTGTGAACGCCAAGGTATTTCCCTCTTTCCACTGGAGGTGACGTGACCTTGGTAACACTTCCAGTGTCAGGAAAAGCACATGCTCAGGTGATCAGAACCACAGAATCATATAATACTTTGGGTTGGAAGGGGCCTTAAAGCTCATCTCATTCCACCCCCTGCCATGGGCAGAGACACCTTCCACTAGACCAGGTTGCTCCAGGCCCCGTCCAACCTGGCCTTGGGATACTTAAAGGGATGGGGCAGCCACAGCTGTGCCAGGGCCTCACCACCCTCACAGTACACAATTTCTTCCTAATACCTACTCTAATCCTACTCTCTGTCAGTTTGAAGCCATTCCCCCTTGTCCTGTCACTGCAGGACCCAACGATCAGCTCCCACCATCTCCCACTCCAGTGGAACCCCGCAGCTCACACCACATGTCAGTTATCAGCTTTAGCTTGCATCAAAACACCTCCACAGACAAGGCTCTGACGCCCCCATCAGTAACATCAAACAACAGAACCGTCTCAGTAATTCTGGCAATGGCTGGAAATAAAAAACACCGGGTCAGGTGGAATAAAAGTTTCTTCCTTCACAAGCTCACCTTTAGCTTTTGCTGAGGTGTGCACCGAGCTTTTCTTTCCTGATCAAACTTGCTGCATAGGGAATCTGGAATGGCACAGAAACAAAGACACTGCTTTAAGCCAAGGTTTGGCTAATGCAATATCCAAGCTGGAGACTCCTGCAAATGAAAGGGTTTATTTGCCTTCCCGGAAACAGTGAGGAATTTTAGGAAACAACGCCTTAAATTAAAGTTTTTAACTCTTCAGGAAGCTAAAAACGGCCTGAAGTACAATAACAATAAAAGATGCCTTCTGATGCTTTGTTTCTACCAGCTGCTGACAAGGAGTAAAAGCCACCTGAGAGATCACAAAAAATCAGCTGTCTGTGACAGAGCAGGCAGGGCACACTGATCCCTGCACAGCCGAAATACAGCAGGTTGGGAGTATGAGACTTCACGTATTTATATCACCGTAATTAGGAAGTTCATAATAGTTATCTCTGACTTGCACCAATCTGAGGGGAAGCCACTGAAGTGGAACAAATAATTAAAGAAAAACAGAGAACATAGGCATACTAGGGAACATAAGTTATATTTAGAAACAAAGTGGGATGATGTGCTCACTGGCCACTGGGAATGCACTGCGGGGCTGCTCTTCTTCAGTGCCATGCCTTTAGAACGCAACAAAACTAATTTGCTCTGAGATTTCTCCATGGCTGGGAATCCAAGTAACTACAAACTCTTTCACGATGTCTTTTGGAATGACTTTTAGGGGAATTCAGGCTGGAATCAAAAAAAAAAAAAAAATCCAAGTCTCTAAGCTCATGGGTGCTGCTGCACACTGAGGTGACCTGCTTCTGCTGTCAGGAACTCCAGGATATACTCACAAACAATGTCAAGTATGTTACTGCAAGCTGACAAATATGTCAGCTGAAGTCAGGAGAGAAGTCTTAAGTTGCACAAACAACAGAAGGAACAGACAGGTAAAGATACAGAATTCAAACAACCTGCCCCACACCCCTAAGGACATGGCAGAAGTATGTGAACTTTCATCCATATCCACTGATCCCACGTGTTCTTGTACATCCCTGGTTTTGATTTTAAATGCATTATGCCCACAGAGTGTGAGGATGTTCGTGTGATTTGGGCTCAGCATGTGTCTGGGTTGGTGTAAAACATGGTGTCTGCAATGACAAGGGAGAGACACATCCGTCCCTGACTTCCTTAAAAAGGAAAAGAGCAGGGAAGCATCAAGGATGAGGGGAAAGAACAGAGCATCTGCAGCTCAAGAACTAACCCCTCCATTTTTCAGGGAAGGAGGAGGTCAATCTGACTGAAAGCAGCCTCACAAGGAAGCAGGAGTGTCTGTGGCTGAGTCAAAAGCCTTTCCCGGGGAGGCACACTGCTTCCTCCACCCCACAGCCCTGGAAAAAGGGAAATGTGTGTGCACAAGCCACTGACGGCTGGAAAAGACCAAGGATCCAGGTTTTTTGGCTGACTACTCTTACAGCCCGTAACCCTAGGCAGAAGCTAAGAGCCATCAGGAAAGTTTGCAACCAGATCATCCCCAAAAAACAGAGCTCTCCCCTCCACTACCGGAGCTGCCTCCTGGTGCTTGTAAAGGCCAGAAAAACTCCTCCCCAAACTGCAGCAGGGAGGAGCGTGCGAAGAAGCTGTTTACCTGATCATCCATGGCCACGGTGGGTGATCAAATTAGATTCAAAAGGGAGCCACAAACAAAAAAACCACACCAGCACATTCCAACTGGGACCTGGGATGCCTCACCCACTGCTTTTTGGCCCCCTCTCCCACTCGCCACGGCCAACAGGCAACTTGGGTTTGCGTGGCCGCCAGTTATGTAGGACATCTCCCAGGCTGTACTGACCTAGATAATACAACGGGGTACGTTCTGTCAGAAATTAACTGTTCTTAATCCACTCCTCCGCTATATTTGGCGCCATCGGCGCCTTTTTGATGTGTGTTGGGTTATCCGCTCTCCTGGCGGTAAGTGTCACTGGGAGAGGTGGGTGTTCAACAGGGAAGTGACTACTTTCTTCATGAGTTACATCACCTACAGCGTCATCTTCTAGTTTTGTCACTGTAAGAGCATTTGGCAGCTCTGGTGCTGCGGTGGATTAGTATTTACTCCCCTTCAGTGCATCCCTGGTGGCTGCTGTGATGAAGATGGAATCAGCACTCTAATGGGCATGGGGGATCCTAACAAAAGGTCTACAGCAGTAACAAAAGCACAGGCAGTTTGGATTCAAGCAGTAAGAAATCAGTTTCTTAAGACTAAGCCCACATTAACAGGAAATACGACACAACGAGGGCAGATCTGAAGAGCAACCCCAACAGAACTGCGATAAGGACAATGGGTCTTTTCTTCTTCAGGTCAACTCTAGTCTAGTCCTGGGTACTGAACCACCTGTTAGGAGGTAGAGCACGCTCCTATGCACATTCCTGGAACACATCCTCATTTGTTTCACCTGGAAAGAATCCAGACCCAAGCTCTGGGGTCTGCTCCACAACATGAACCAAAGCGTAGGAAAGTGGGTGGGGTTGGGGATTCGTTTCTAAAGTGCAGATCTGATCCCTGCCTACAGACACCTGGGACACCAAAGGACCTTTGGCACGCCATCCTCTTGCAGACACTTCACCTTTTCCCCCCCATCTCTCATGGGGTACACAAAGACACATCACCCTGACTTGTGTTGCTTAGAAAAAAAGATTTTGCAGACAGGCAACAGTAGAGGATGTGCTTGTGGTTCTCTGTACATCCACATCCATTTTTGATCAGACTTTCTGCAGATTCTACAGAAAATAAAGCTCTTGTTTCTCTTTTTAACCTCTCTGAAAGGCGCTCCTTCTCTCTAACATTTGAATTTAAGGGAGAAAAGAGGCCCAGCTCTGTCCAACCAAGACATACATAGATGTATCATCAAGATAGAAGTTTTGCTCACTTGTCTTGAGGGGGAAAAAAAAAGGCATCCGTAGCAAACAGAATTCTGGTGAAAATAGTATTTGCCAGATCACTTTCCTGTATATTCTACCTTCAGCATCAAAAGGACATATTCCCAATTCATACCACTAAAGCTGGAGAGAACACCAAAATCAAACAAGAATAACAAAATATACAGAAGCAGTATCATCCCAAGTGTTAAAGAACAGAAGAACAAGTTATTTAGAATTTCTAGTTTGGGAGAGCAAGGTGATGAAATCTCCCTTGGAGTCTGCAGGACACACAGTTCCAGAAATGCTCTTTTACCAGTCACTGTATGTGTGTGCCTGGGAACAGGCACTCGAGCGTAAGATGCAGCTCAAGAAATCCAAGAGCCATTCTGCTGAACAGCTCTTTCCCTCTGACACTCTTGTCAAGGTCAGTCATTCCAGCTGGACCACTTCAAGGAGAGGGCAAAAATCAAAAATGCCCATAAAGCACTGCAATTTCCCATTTCCACAAGAACAGGGATACTCCTTGTCTGTATAACGAATAAACTAGTTGTACAAAGCACCAGCTTTCCAGGTACAACCTAAAATAGGAATTAAACTTTCTGGTGGTTTTTTTGGTTTGGCTTGGTTTGATTTTGTTTTTTTAATTACAGTGGCACCCAGAGGAACATGATCTCATATCTCTGAAGTTTTACCAGCATTACCACGTGGTAGATTTTTTTCTTTTAAACATTCCCTGTGATTTGATTCCTTAAAGATTATACAGGGATAGAAATCAGTTTTTCAGGTGGACAGCTCCTGATTTTATTGCCTGACTCTGAAGAACAGAGTTGATTCAAAGCAGCAGAGAGCAGAAAACCATAAAACACAGAAGGGTTCCAGATGGATCCAGTTTTGAGCTCTGAACGTTAATATCAGCCCAAACTTAGGCTACTAAGGAGCAAGTCAGCTAAGAAATTAAAATACCCCAAACAAAACCAAACCAACAGTTGCCATTTAATCTGGAAAGAAAAAGGACTGCCTGATCTTTTCACATTTTCAAGCAAACCTCAAAAAACTGCCATCTTTTACCCTTATGTAAAATTAGTGGAATTGGTCACTACCTGATGTTCTAAACCATACCGGGTGATGAACTGAGCTTTTCCTGATGGACAGGTCACCACTGAGGTCAGAACTTCCTGGGAACCTACAAATTACTTGTGAGGGACCTCTGATAAGAAATTAAGAAAAGCTACTCTGTTTTGCAGGAGGCTTAAATTTGCTCCTCGGTGTTCTGCTTCTCTGTGGCAACGTTTGAGAGGGCTTCAGAGGAACATTAAAGGATGAAAATCGTCACGCTGGGAATGCTGCTTCTGATCTTTTTCTCTCACCAGGCAGCTTGGAAGAAAGTTCATGCCTTTAAAATTTGATCCACTAACACAGTGGCTCAGAAAACACTATCAGAGACTTACAGAGTCTCAAGAAGGAGCTGACTCAATTCTTTCTTAAGGTGCTGGGCTGTCCTGGCAGATAAATTTTGGTAAACATTGACAGAAACTGACAAGTCTAAAGGCAGGTGAGGCTCTTCCAAGGCCATACCGTGTGTGTCATGAGAGAATTTACGTGAGAGAATGAATTTACCTGCCTGGAATTGGCAGCAATTCCTTCTCACTGGTCCTTTCTGTACAGTTTAGTACCAACAGCCAGATGATCCACCAACTCACAGAATCTTTTAGGTTGAAAAGCCCCTGAAGATCATCGAGTCTAACCACTCCCCCAGCACTGCCAAGGCCACCACTCACCCATGTCCCCAAGTGCCACATCCACAGGGCTTTTAAATCCCTCCAGGGATGGGGACTCCACCACTGCCCTGGGCAGCTGTGCCAGGCCTTGACAACATTTTCAGTGAAGAAATTTTCTCTAGTATCCATTCTAAACCTCCCCTGACACAAGACAATTCATACGTTAACCCCATAGTTTATATACAGCCTCCAAGTGCCTGCACCGTGCTCAGCTTATCTAGGAGACAGCGCTTTGAAGGAGGAGGAAGAGAAAAATTAATTCAGCAACCTGAGAGCCATTTTCCAGTTAAATATGACTGGAAACCAGTTGTTCCCCGGCAGCTGGCTCAGAGCTTGGCACAAACAGGTTGCAAAACTTCCCGGTAGCTGCTCCAGACACTTTTGACGCCCTGGCACCCTGAAAAAGCCAGGCTGTGCCCGAAGAACTCGACATGCATTACCGAACACGCAACAGGACGGGACCCAGCCGTTTTCCCAATGATCCGAGCCTTACTTCCGACCTTCAGGAAGACACAGAATGTTATTATTTTTTAATCCCGGAGAGGGCAGAGCACTAAAATAGCCCCCCGTTGATTAAGCCCTGCTAAATTTAAGCGAGGCTTTCGATGAGGAATGCCGAGGGTGCAGTGTCGGGCGGGGGGCGGCAGAGGGCGCCCGATCCCTCCGATCCGTCCCCGCAGCTCCGCGATGGATTTTCCACCCTCCCCCCAAAAAAAAACCAAAAAAAACCCCCCAAAAAACGGGAGAAAAAGCATCACGGCCACTGCTCAGCACCGTCCGGGCACAGGGCACCACCCCCACCCAGTGCTTTCCCTGCAACAACTCAGGCTACAGCGGGAGCTGGCGCTAGAAAGCTGCCAAATGCACTTAAATTTGCTTAGTATTTTTCGTGCTTCTTGTTATTCCAGGCATTTCTGACACAGCAAACCTCACCTTTGGCAAAACCTGCCTCTGGTGCCCACAGTTAGAAGGCATCGGGAATCACAGAATGGCTTAGGTTGGAAAAGCCCTCTAAGGCCACCAAGTCCAACCATTCCCCCAGCACTGCCAAGGCCACCACTAACCCGTGTACCCAAGTGCCACATCCACACGGCTGTTAAATCCCTCCAGGGATATTCAGGAAGGACTAATTTAAGTTGTATAATCGTTCAGCTGTGAGAAGAGCCAAAAAAAAACCCTCCTCCTGACTCTGGGCATTTACATTGTTTCTAAAAGAATTTTTAAAAAGCAATTAAGCCAAGTTCCATGGCTAATTATACCAGTAAATTTGGAGTTCAATACTGCAAAGGTATACATCTATGAAGATCTAAGTAAGATTTAAGTATGCATTGCATACTTCTGCTTTTCTCTTTGCACTTCTACGTTAACAAGAAAATTAGGCTAAAGCTCTGTTAAAACAACAGTACTGCATCTCAGGTACGAAAGGAAACCATCTGCCCCTTGTTAAAAAAAAAAAAAAAGGTAAATAAATAAATAAATAAATAAATGTCAAAAGTAGCCACGCTTCTCATGTATTTTGCACCAAAGGCTTTAATTCATCCATGCCATAGCCCAAGAAGGCCAGAGTAGTTCTATCGTTACCACATTCAGTTCATTAATCTTAATTCTAGATATAAACACGCCAGATATATTCACATGAATGAATCAAAGTAACTGCAGGGATTATCACCTCGAAAGTGCTGACTCCCATCTCAGTTATCAACCCAGACAGATTTCTGCACCAGTCTTAAACACACACTCTCGTTATTTGCAGCAGTCTCTCACTTCTGCATGTGCAAGTATCTTTTTATCTGTCTCGCTGTTCACAACCTGCCTCCCAAATATGAGCGTAAGGACTTACTGACGATATGACAACATTCCTATTTATTAGTAATGATTAAACCCAGGCAGCGACAGTGAGGGAAGAGGTCCTGAATTGCTGGGGCAGTGCTTTAAATGTTCAAACTATTCCCTGTAAGTATATTCAGACAGCTCTGTTTAATGATTAAATGACTATTAGTCTTTCCGTAGCGTGCGTCAGTTAAGTGGAAAGGGTGTGAATTACACGATCATATTTCTTTTCCTGCCCAAGAAAATCAGAAAAAACGACCACAGTTGGCTCACTGGAAGTCTGGTATATCCAGTTTCAGAAGCAACTTCGCAACTGGAACACAAAGTGAACAGGCAGAGGTGATCATTCCCTCTTTGGGAAGGGCAGTTTGTTAGCTTCAAGCTCAGCTGACACAAGAGAGAAAGGCTGAGGTGACCCAGTAAACTCTGAGCTTCACAGCAGGAACTGGGCAGGTCACCTGCCTCGAATACAAAGTAGTAGGGGAAGTGCTTTTCAGGGTGGCATCTTAATTACCACCTTCTTTGACAAATGAAATTCACAGATCAAGCCAAACTCCCTGCCTTGGATTCCAGAGACAAAGAGGGACGTGGTAAGAGCCGGACACATTAAAGGAAAAGAGTGAAGACCAGTAGAAAAATAATAAAAATATCCAGAGACGTTCTGGATTTGAGTTTCCTCCATAAACAACCTCCTTCAAACACCCTCCATCTGTCATTGAAATCTCTGAAGTCAGCAGGAACAGGGCGCGTGAACGTTCGGCAGCTCTAAAAATAAGGCCAGTCCTAAATGCGTCTAAACACCGGCACACAGGTTTGACAATCCTGGCCTTCAGCTTTGTTTTTATGTCCTAACCCATCAGTTAGAAAATGACAGTACCAGGAGGCTGGACAATGCCTTCTCTGCGCATCACCAGGGCCTGCGACAAGCAGAGAGAAAGAAAATTTAAGTGCTCGAAATTTGGCAAAGCTGCCTCAAAAAAAAAGGGCTGTTAAATAATGTCAGTCTGATCACGGAGAAAGCACTAGCAAAGCAAGTATTAGCTGACAGCCTCCTGTTTGTTACCATGCCCTGCTCTTAAAACCACTAATCAGTGTTTGAGTATGAAACATCTTCCCAAGCTCCAGCCCCCTTCCTTGCACTGGATGAAGTGTGTCAAGTTTTCAAAACAGCACAGTTGTATGTGATCATCTAGAGCTGCACTAACACACAGGCAAAATCCCTCTTGATTTTAAAACAACAAGCAAGAGACCCAACAGCAAAGTGTGCCTGCACTGAACTGTGTTTTGGCAACTTGATCCTTTACTGCTGAGTTAAGCACTTCTTCTAGCGTCTGAAATGTGAAAAACACACATCCTAAGGTTTATTTGCTGGTGAGAAGCTCGGCTCACACAGATTCCCTACCGAGGGCTGAAATGCACCCTTTGGCAGCTCACATGAGGTAGAAACATTTAACTGTTTACTGATTCAGTGCTCCTGTTCCTCCCTGCAGAAGCACCTATCGGTGTTGAGTCAACACATCTCATTTAGCTGAAACGTGAAGACCCATCTGGTTACTGTATGAAAGTAAATCTCCAGGTAATTAGGCTCTAAACCAGCTGAGAACTGCACACACTTAGGTCTTGCTAACTACAAGGTAATAGGAGCTCGGTGCATGGCTCACAAAGGAAAAGTTTGAGGTGCGCATTTAAAAAACATAAAAGCAGCAGCTCACGGGCATTTTCAGTGGAGGAAGGCAAACTTACAATTTGTAGCTGCTGTACCATTTCTTCTCTGTACGCCAGTTCCCGCTTCATCTGATCTTGAAAATTATCTGTGTGAGAGGGGGGGGAAAAAAAGTAGATGCAATAATTGAAAGAGAGGCCACACAGCAGAATTCATATAAATCAAAATGTATCAAACCCAATCACCACTGAGGAACCACGAAGCACTACAAAGCCCTTCAGCCAATTAAAACACGTGCCTAACAAACACTTATGCATTAGAAGACACTACAGACAACAGAAAAACTGTGAAAAAATTAGATTTGGCTACTTCCCCCATCAGCAAATCTAGGCTGCTAAGTTTCTGCTGCTAGCATTTATTCCCTGTTATTCTTCTCGATGGGCCAGACTCTGCAGTCATTACTCAAACTTCTACCAACACCGAAGAGAGAGGAGCAAAAACTGCTCTTCTTTGCTTTGGCATAAATCTGTTGACATCAACGGCTATGTCCAACATGTGAGAAGGATAAAGCGTTCAAGGATGCAGGGTTTGATTTGTAGTGTGTAACACTCTGCTGATGGCTCTGAACAAAACTCAGCCTAAAGCTCCGCAAACAGTGACGCAGAACTCAGAAGGGGAAAAGCCTTTGAAAGAAAGACCCTCAACAGCTGGGTTATAGCACAGTCCAGCCCTCCTGCTCCAGCAGATCCTCCTTCCCTCCTCTTCCTCCTAAAGTAACCATTTCAGACAAAACTTCATTCGGTAGAAGATTATCTGCTGGTCCCTGTTCGAAAACGTTGATGTTGGAGGGTGGGAAAAACATGAATAAAACTATTGACAAGAACCAAGTAACTTGAAGAGCTACCTGGTGGAGATCTGGGTGCAGTGATGGACTGTTAAAACTGAGGGGGAAAGAAAACCCATTCCAACCAGTCTCACATTTTGATCTGGGGAAAAAGCCTGTCCTGGGGCATGGAACCGGTGAGGTGAATGCCACTGGAAAACACCATGGAGAGCCTGGAGAAGAGAACTACAAGGCCAAGGTAGCTAAAACGGTTTATTTACAGGCAACCAATTAATAGAGTTACACAGTCATGCCGGGACACTAGCCTGGGAGTCAGGAAGCCTTGGCTCTGAATGACTCTGTGTGTCTCTCCATGCCTCCTTTCACTACCAGCAAAGCAGGAATAACAGCCCTGGCATGACTCAGTGGAGGGGAAGGATGACCCTCATCTGCAGGGAAATGGGGATTTGTCGAAATCAAGTGTGGGCATAGGAAGGCTGGAAGAAAGTACAAGGGGGCAGAGCTCTGTCCTCCTCTTTCACATACGAATTTTGCCCTCTCTAAACGATGAGTCAAGTTTAAAAGGCAAGGAGGCAGGAAAACAGTAGTGAAACAAAGAGAAATTTTGGCAGGCTGAAACCATCAGGGGTCCAGCACTGCCACACTGCAAAGGACATCCAAATGAAGTTCTTCATATTTCAGGTAAATTCCCACAGAACTTTTCAGACTTTTCCCTCTACTACTCCAACTTGGCAATAAAAATAAGCCAACAGAAATAAAGCAGGTTTACAATTCCTCTTTGCCTTCCCCTAGAAAAGTCATGCTGTATAAAAAGGTGATTGCCTCCTAAAGGCTGATAGATCTGTGCTAATTCCTACAGAGGTCCTCCAGTTTCACTCTGAGTAGGCTTTAAGGAGAAATTTTCCCTCTTTCCTCAACACTCTCCTCCTGACTGCCTTTTTACGGGCTCATCACCTCTCAGAACAAACAGCTCAGAAACCTTTCTCAGTCCTGCACGGCAAATGCCCAAGCTCACAATGGAAATTGGTGTTAATGGCAGGGACAGTGTTTTGTTTTTTTTCCGGCAGCATTAATCCGACTCCAAATGCTTACAGACAAAGCCATAAGCATTACCCTAGAGAAAAGATATGAATATTTAAATAGCTTTCTTAACACAAAATTAAATACTTTAAGTACCCAGACTACTTCTCCACCATTTTATTGCCATGGTTGTTAAATGCAGACGGACAAAATGCGGAGCAGCCGACAACAGTGGTACAAAACCAGCGGAGGGTTCCAGGAGAACCTGTCACCAGGCAATAGGTGCTTGCATTTCTATCAGGACAGCAAACACTTTGGTTTTCTTCAAGCTATCTGATCTTTGGTTTTTTATTATTTTCTTCAAGCGATCTCCGCTTTGAGAGATCTTACAGCCAATGGAAAACCTCATCTGCAGCTTTCAAGTGCAACAGCAACATGAAAAACCCAAGTGCAAGCAGCAGAAGACAAGGTCTGCTGTTTTGTAAAACACCACAGTCCACATGTCAAGCAGGTACGAGAATCCACAGAGAAGCTCAGATCTGCCTGGCACTGCTACAAGAGCTGGCAAAATTGCTCAGTTCTCATTTAACAGTGATTTCAACAAGGAGAACTCTGAAACCAAACTCCATTTACACACAGGAATGCACAGCCCTGCTGTGGACAGTGGTTTATGACTATTAACGTATAATACCCCGAATGTGCTCTGTTCCAAGTGCAAGACCCCAAAAAAGGTGACTTTGGAGTTAACTCCAGGTGACCTGAGAGAAGCACCTTCTAGAGAGACACAGTATTACCTTTCACATCTCATGCGCTGCCTCCCTGCTGAAACAGGGACGAGTTTTCCCCAATTCAAAAAAAAACACGAAGAACACTTGAAATTCAAAGGCTTCTTATGCATCTGAACAGTGCAAACACACACCACCAACCATCAGAGTGAGAATGTCCCTGGCAATGTGTTCCTGTCCTTGGCAGCTTTAGGGATGGGACCGAATTCCAGTCTCCACGACCGCTCACAAGCCAGACTGGGGATACGAAAACCTGTAACCTCTGCCTGCTCTTCACTCCCTCCTGCAGCCTCAGGTATTTCCAAACCATGATAAGTCAATCAATGCAATTTTAATTTTACCTCTACTTCCATTTAAGTTGGATCTCCAAAGACCTCTCTCCTTAGCTCCTCCTTACCCAAGACCACCAGAGGCAGTTTCTAACTTGGGAAACCTGGAAAAGTAGTTTCTAATACCTGACCTAAAGCAGCAGCCCTGTTCAGCATCAAGAGCCTGGAACAGACCCCCTCTCTTCTGCTAGAACATGTAGTGCTGCAGAGGGCAAACCACCCTTACCATGGATTTCCACTAATTTGCTTTACAAAGACCCGTTTTTCTTGTTTTATTGGATGTGGAGGAGGGGTAGGTTTTTTTGGTAAATCTAAATCTGTAAATAGGTTTTACGGTCACTTGTAGGTATTGTTTATAGCACATTATCTGTTTTCTATTTTAATCCTGAAGAAAATTGACCACTACTTTGCGGTACACTGAAACCACATATTTTTCAAGCCGGCATACAGCAGTCACCACTTCCTTGGTCGGCCCTACGTGTTCTTTTCTTTTATTTGAATTGTATTTCATGTGGTTTAATTGCAGTGTTTATTTACATGGCAATGACAGAGCATTAATTTTATTGCAGAAGAACAAAAGGATAAATAAAAGAGACCTGAATGGCAAAACTCCAAGGTGCCATTTCGCCAATACCACACAGCAGTGCTTTGATCTACACAAATTATTTGAAAATTACCTCACTCCCAAACCCAAGTAATGACTGTATTTATTCTGAAGGATGAGGTTATACCCCTTTCATTAATATCCGTATCACGTCAGGCGACTCTTCTTTATTTATGGAGCTGCCTACATATTTCAATATTTGGGCTGAAGACAGAGTCGTTCTCAGAGTCCTTGCACTTCCCTGAACTTGCCTATCTGATGCTGCAGTAAGGGGACAAACATAGCTTCTTTAAACTTTAAACACACAAACCCTGCTAGGTATCCATTAATTTGATTTAACACATGCTCTGTACTTCGGGGCAGCAGCACTTCGCTCATCAGGTGTGAAAGGGCACTCTCAATAGCCCATCTCAGGGGGAAGAATCCAAACAGGCACCTCTGATGCTTAAACACAGCCCAAATGAATTCTCCAGCACCAGCCAGAGCCACCTGAAAATGAGTATGAAGCATCTTGTCTTCCTGTACCCCAAGAGACCCCAGACGTGTTTCTCCTTTCTGTACTCAGTGTTTCCCAAAACCAGTGAAATGTACACCAAAACATCCAGCTTTGTATCTTCCCTACATTGAGACCTGCTCGGGCATCCTGCAAAACCACACCACAAGCGCCATCATAGAATCCATGGAGTGGTTTGTGCTTCAAGGGACCTCGAAGACCACCTAATCCCAACCTCCAGCCCCAGGCAGGGACACTTTCCACCACACCAGGCTGCTCCGAGCCCCGTCCAACCTGCCTCAGCAGAACTAAGACAAAGATCCTGGCAACGCAACTGAGGACGTGCCTTCCCCCATTTTATCAGCCTGGCAACAACCAACCACGCACACACGACACCCAAAACCACAGAGATGCGTCTTACTGAAGACTGGGAAAGACGCGTTTCCTTTCAACACCTGGAATTCCTGTTCCAGTCTCCTCCGTAAGTCGATCTGCTCGAACAAAACCTTCTGGAGCTCCTCTAACAAAAGGGAAAAAGAGGGTTTGGTTAAGTCTGTGTAAATAATTCTTGAAGGAACAGTTGCAGAGCAATTCATTACTATAAGACAAAATATTTTAGTGCTTATTAGGGGGAAAAAAAAAAAAGTGTTCCATAGACCTACAATAGATTTTGTGCAGAAAGCAATGAATATAAATCAATGTAATATATTATTTTAAAGTATTATATTACAGTGTCATGTATTGATTGATATATATGCATTAATCTCAATTATATCCACCCAAAGGTCCATATATTATTCATATGTTACTTGACAAGCTTAAAATATGGTGCAGAACAAAAGTGCTCCCTATTACCCTCATATTCTATTAAAACAAAGAGCAGTTTTATAATGTAAGAGGCCCTTATTTATTTTACCTTTCCCCATGTTTTCCACATCCTTCTTCAGCGAATGAGGTGAATTGGTTTCTTGTGTGTGTTCTCCTAAATAAAAAAAGAGAAAGAAAAGAAGTTATTCATTTATTGACAGGGCCTCTTTTTTTTTGTCAGTGTTGTCCTTACCATGCAGACGCTTCAGAGAGTTTGGAGGAAAAAAAAAAAAGGAGGAAAAATACAAAGAAAGAGTAAGATTAAGCTTTATCTACATATCTCTGTGTGCACAGCACAAACATATCGCAAACTCATGTTTTCTCCTAGTTTACTGAAGTATCTACCTACAGCATGGCCTCTTGCAGACAGTATCTCCTCGACATCCAGGTGGGCTCTTCTTGCCAAACTGATCCTTGCTTTCCCTCTAGCCCCTCCTGAAGATGCTCTCATCAGAGAACAACCAGGACCAAGCTGAGAAAGGGAAGAGCCTTCTCCACGGTCTCATCCCTCCTCCTCCCCACGGGAAGTCTGTGCTGTCCATCTGGGCAGGACCCCGCTCCAAAATCCACAGGCAAAATCCCTTTTCTGCCTTCGTCAGCTCTTCAGCTTCATCATCTTCCAGAGCTCCGTGGCACAGGCATGTTGTAACTGGATATAATTTATACCCAGCTGAGATAAAATTGACATTAGTGGTATTTGCATCTAAAAGACACGGCTCTGAGGTCAACCAATTCAGGGACTTCTGTCTTAGGTTGCTAAAGTTAACTTTTGATCCTATTAGAGCACAGAATTTTCTAGAGAAGAGAATCTGACTATTTTCAGACACGCGCATGATACTTCCTTCAGCTTTTTTCCTTTACAAATTAAATTAAAAAAAAAAAAATCTTCACATGCTGTTGAGTTCAACCAGACGACAGTTGGACTTAAAAAATGTAACCTTCTGACAAAAGGTGTTATTTTCATTATCCTCTGGAACTGTTAAGTTTTCCTCTGATTTCTATGAATGGGGTTTTGAACAAAAAACCATGAAAAACTGTGTTTTAAAAGAAAAAAATACCACTTTAGCTGAAATTGATGGGAGATTTTCTGTTATTTACAGCTGAAGTAGAAATGGACTCTCGATAATTAAGAAAATATTTGGTAAATAACCAATTATTGAAGTAATTGGATTAATTCTTGTTTTAGTCCAGCCAGTAAATACACATCATTAACTCTACTGATAAGTAATCACAAGAGACATCCATATAAAGCTACTCGTGTGTTTATGTATTTGGAAGAGAGAATAATGGAGAAAATATCTCGGGGTTTTGTAGTTTTGTTTGTTCAGGTTTTTTTAAATAAAAATCCATAGCACTTAATAGGTCACCACACAACAGACAACAGTTATTTTAAAAATAAGTGTGTCATCACAATAGGCTAATTTTGAAGTTGAAAGTCTTGATGGAAAGTCTTGTTACATATGCAGTCAGAAATCTTTCTGCAAAACATTTATTTCTGTTTTTAAAAATTGATGCAATCTTACATCCAGTAAACCTTGAAGTCTTAGTATATGAAACCTGTCCAACAGCTATGCATTTTAGCATTTGCTTTCTCTTCCTTTATTAAAAAAAAAAAAAAAAGCCAAAAAGCAACCACTCATTCAGACACATGCATTTACACAACTGGTATCTGGTGCCAACAATTCCATTTTAAACACCTGTTTATGTAACGTAGTGATGAAAAAAAAATTATATTTGATAAAAACTAAGTATTTTCGAGAGTTATCTCACCACAGTAAAAGACAACAGCAACCTTAAAAATATATCATTTTTTGAGCAGTGGTTTGAGGACTTTCCACAATGTAAAACGTCTTTTTTTTTTTTTTTAGCTAACATAATTCTGTTTCAAAAGGGATTGCTAACAAAATAAATATTTTATTAAATAAATTAGGATGCACTACATCAAAAAGGAGGAATTTAAGTTTAGGAAGGGTATTCATTAAATTATAAACACCAGTATATTTCCACTCCTTTTTTTCCAACGAGGCGTTCTTTTCTGAAAGTTTTTTGTGCAATTTTAAGGGGTAACAGGCTCACAGACAGAAGGTAACTGGATTTTTCAAGGGGGAGGAAGAAAAAGGGCAGGATACTAGAGCATGGTGACAACACAGCTCCTTCCCACCGGCTCATTTGAGCTTTCAGGGCCATAGGATTTGAGGCTGCTGACTCGCCGAGACAGAAAAAGCTGCATCAAAATGAAAGTAAGGGCATGCAGCATGAAGAATAACTTCTCCAGCATCCACAGCCTCCCTACTAAGCTGACAAAAACACTTATTAGAAAATCCTCCATCCTTACTCCTGAAGTTAAGTAAAGAATGGGACTGGAAACATGAAGGTGTTTAAAGGCAAACCCCAGTATGTACGGGTTTGTAGAGTAACGGCATTTTTAAACTGCTTTCTGATGTTAAAAAAAAATAGTCTTGGCATTATTATTGTTAACGCCAGTAATAATCAGATGGGTTTCACCTTTCCAGTCCCCCTGAAAATGATAATCAGGAGCCTGCTCTTCTCCGTTTTTCCGTACTTCCCAGAGGCCTCATCACGCCTTGCGTGCTGCTCTACCTTAATTGAAAGGGAGGAGGTATTGAATATTTAACCAGCTTCCTTTCTCTTAAATGTTAATTAAAAGCTAAATAGGTGTTTAAAAACAAACAAACAGAAAGCCCAAAGAATTTTAATCAGTCTAAGGAAAAAAAATCGCCTCCCCCTCCTAACGGTTCCACCGTAACCCTCTTGGGCCTTGCCCACACACACAAACTTATAGCAAGGTTTTAGAGCAGCACTGAAAGCTGGGCAGCCCCTGGTATGGACACAGAGGTTTTCTTTAGAAGAGTCCTATTTTAAGTTTAATCGGAAAAATCAAACCACCTCATCCATCTGTTGGAAAAGCAGATGATGAAGTGTTTGCGGCGGGTTCAAGCTGCCCCAGTGAAAGCCTCTGGTACGTCTGTCCTTCCCGATGAGCTCAGGTGCACACACATGGCTATGGCTCTCCTTAACCTGGGATGTGAACACCCACCCATGGAGGGGGTGGACAGCAGAGATGATGTCTGTGGTTGGACACACCTCAGAAGGACTCAGAAATCGGCACCGTGGCAAGCAGAGGTCCCAGTCCGGACACACCGGCACAACCCCGGCTCTTGCGGTGCCGCTGTTCTACGAGCTCCGCGCCCGCTGGGGCAGCGAGGTTTTTGAATTTTTAGCATTCAGATTTTTAACATCTCTAAATTTGTTCTCCTCAAAAAGAAGTGCACCTTGCCCTCACTGCGAAAGAAAACCGAAACAGACACAGCCAGGTTAGCTCTTTGCGCTGCGCCGCCCAGAGCGATCTCCCGCAATCCTTCCCCAGGAAGCTCTCGGAGCGCTCTTCAAACAGCAGCTACAAAACTCCACACTGTCCCAGACAACTCAGCTGTCTCAATGGGCCACCATAGAGCTCTGATGGTCTGGGAATCTAACCCCATCCTCCTGACTCTGCGCCTTGTCCCCCACTTACGCCCTCTACAATTCTCACTACATCTGCGCTGTCAGATCACCTCATCCAAAATTGTCCATCTGCCTGTGTCTCTGCATCATG